GGGGGGATATATTACAATGGCACCTGGAAGTGGGGGGGAAATATTACAATGGCACCTGGAAGTGGGGGGATATATTACAATGACACCTGGAAGTGGGGGGGATATATTACAATGACACCTGGAAGTGGGGGGATATATTACAATGACACCTGGAAGTGGGCGGATATATTCGTCAGCATTTGGTCCATAAAGTGAATGTGTTGGAAGCAGAAAAATGGGGCAAGTGTGAAGATTTGGATGACTCTGACAAAGGCCAAATTGTCTAGACGACTGGGTCAGAGCAACTCCAAATCTGCAGCTCTTGTGGGATGTTCCCGGTCTGCAGTGGTCAGAACTAACCAAAAGTGGACCAAGGAAGGTCACCCGGTGAACAAGTTATGTGCAACCAAGGCTTAGTGATGCAAGTGGGGAGCGAAGGCTGGCCCGTGAAGTCCGACCCAATAGAAGAGCTACTATAGCTCAAGTTACTGACCCGTATCCACTCCCAATAGCACCTACAATGGCACGTGAGCATCAGAACTGGACTACGGAGCAATGGAATAAAGGTGGCCTGTTCTAATACACTATAGGGAGAAGCCAGGCCGGCAGAGGCAGTGTGATGCTTTGGGCAATGTTCTGCTGGGAATCCTCGGGTTCTGCCATTCATGTGGGTGTTATTTTGACACGTACCACCGACCTAAACATTGTTGCTGACCAAGTACACCCCTTCATAGAAACTGTGTTTTCTGATGGCAGTGGCCTCTTTTAGCAGGATAATGCGTCCTGCCACACCAAAAATGGTTCAAGAATGGTTTGAGGAACACAACAAGGAGTTTGAGGTGTTGGCTTGGCCTCCAAATTCTCCAGATCTCAATCCAATGGATCATCTGTGGGATGTGCTGGAAAAACAAGGTCCGATTCATGGAGGCCGATCACCTCACAACTTACAGGACTTAAAGGATCTGCTACTGACGGCTTGGTGCCAGATACCACAGCACACCTTCAGGGGTCTAGAGGAGTCCATGCCAAGACGGGTCAGGAAAAGGGGGACCTACTCAGTATTAGGTGGGTGGTCAATATGTTATGGCTGATCGGTGTGTGTGTATGTGTGTGTGTGTACATAGATATGCATTAGATACTTGAATAATTTCCTGCATGGAATGTTATTTTAGGTGTACTGCTCTCTTTAAAAGTAAAATAAAAAAGATACATACTCAGTCTTTCCAGGATCTCCGCATCTGTCATCTTGGGTTTCTTCTTCAATCTATCTGCGCACTTGGCTGCATTGTCTGCCTCCAACGAGGTGTTTTCTGTTGGTTCTAGGGGTGATGGATGGGGCTCAACTACCGAGCGAGTGTATATCTGCAACACAGAGAGGAAATGAGGCTCCAGGTCTTCTGACTGTGTTCAGCTACACAATCAATGTGCTGGGTGAACCTTCCAATGGACAATGGCTCTATGCACACAATGGAGATAAACATGCAAGGAACCAACCGTAGCCAATACTGAAAGTTTGTGTATATAGAATTAGAGGCAAAATAGGCCACGCAAAGGCAAACTCCAAATACAAAAACAACCTTCAGTGCAGTTACACATTCACTAAGGTGTACCTATTTAGAACCATAAAAGCCCCGCTGGCTGAATGTACAAAAACTAGATGGATAGCCCTCTGACCTAGGCTTGCTGCAGTCTACAAACGTTATTCTGCGTGATCAATGATGACACATTATTAAACAGGATCAATGATGACACGTTTATTAGGACAACAGAAAGTCTAAAATAAAGGCACATGTATAAAAAATACTACAACTAGTACTCAGGATCTTGCTGAAGATGGCGGCCAGATCCTGCCTAATAGGTGCACTGTCCATTGTACGCTTGTGACATCTGTGCAATGTTTAGGCGGCTCGAGCCACCTGCATGCTAGCAACCAAGGACCTAGGTGGCCCAATGCACTTGCATACTGGAAACAAAGAACACTAGCAGCTCCAGCTGCCTGTATTTTAGCAACCAAGACACTAGGCCGCCAGAGTCACCTGCATTCTAGCAACGAAGGATGCTAGGTGGATCAAGCTACTTGAATGCTAGCACCCAAGGATGCTAGGCGGATTGAGCTAACTGCATTATTGCAACCAAGGATTCTAGGTGGCACGAGCCACCTGCATCTTAGCAACCAAGTGGCTAGGTGACTTGAAACACCTGCATGTGAGCAACGAAAAACTCTAGGTGGTGCGAGCCAGCAGCATGCTATCAACAAAGGATGAAAGGCAGCTCAAGCCACCTGCATCCTAGAAAGGAAGGCCACTAGGCAATTCCAGCCAGCTGCATTCTAGCATCCAAAGAAGGCCAGGTGGCTTGAGCCACCTGCATGTTAGCAACCAAGGACCCTAGGTGATCCGAGACACCTTCATGCTAGCAACCAAGGGTGCTAAGCAGCTTGAGCCACCTGCATCCTAGAAACGAAGGATGTGCTTGGCAGCCCAAATCGCCTGCATTGGCTTGCGCTGCCTGCATTATAGCATCCAAAGGAGGCCAGGCAGCTTGAGCCACCTGCATGCTAACAACCAAGAAGGTTAGGCAGCTCAAGCCACCTGCCTGCTAGCTTCCAAAGAATGCCAGGTGGCTCAAGTCACCTGCATGCTAGCAACCACAGATGCTAGGCAGCTCAAGGGGTCAGTATCCAAAGAAGGCTGGGCAGCTTGAGCCACCTGCATGCTAGCAACCAAAGATGCTAGGTGACCCGAGACACCACCATGTCGGCAACCAAAATGCTAGGTGACCCGAGACACCTGCATGTTAGCAACCAAGCACTCTTAAGTGGTGCCAGCCAGCTGCATGCTAGCAACAAAGGATGCTAGGCAGCTCGAGCCACTTGCCCACTAGTGCCCAAAGAATGCCAGGTGGCTTAAGGAACCTGCATGCTAGCAACCACGGACGCTAGGCAGCTGAACAGGTCTGCATCCTAGAAATGAAGGACGCTAGGTGGCTCAGAGCTGCTTATTGTCCCTTGTTGCTAGGGTGCAGGTGGCTCCAATAGAGTGCATTAGCAATGTACACATTATCACAAATGTTGACATGAGTACAACATACTGCTAAAACGCAACGCAAGTGTTCTAAGGCATTTCATCCACCAAGTGTTAGAAGAGCCCCTGGATATGGTGAACACTTATTAGGATGTGGCTGCTATTCCAAGAGGACCTGTCTAAATAACATTTACGCATAGTTATATATACATTATATTGAAAGCGGGTTGATAATTACAATGAAGATTTTTTTTGGTTTTGATTAAATTCATACAATTATTTTTGATGGTCATCAGGGAAAATCTCTGTAGCTCCGTACCAACGCCGGTCCTTTTGTCATAAAACAAGATTAAAGACGTAAACACAGAGAAAGGCGCTCGGCTGACATCTACAATTTTCAGGCCATTTCCTGCTAATCACGGTTTATAAATTGCTATGGGAAGGAGTCTGGTCTGAGCTGCTTGTTTACTCCAGAAGACATAATTACGCCTGTGCAGCTCATACTCAAGACGGATAATAAATGTTTGTGTATGTGGCCCTCCAGGTCTCCGGCTATACCACAAAGCACGAGAAACAATGACTCCGAGACCAAGGAGCAGCTTCACAGCACAATCTGCTCTGATGGACATTTAGTAAAGACTGTCCACTTAGCAAAGGGGAAATTTACTGAGCGTAGTAAATAAGATGAAGCCATCTGGAGTGCCTTAGAGAAGGGACATCTGCTGCACACCATACAGGAGTGTCTATGCCCAGTGACGGGGCAGGAAGTGCACTGCTATCTTCAGGAGGACTTCAAATGGTAAATCTTTCAGGGAGGGGCATTTCTAAGGTCCTAATAGACCAGGAGCACCTCTGGGCACAAGGATTGAGGGGCTGGTAAGAAACCATCATGACCGGTTTGGATCAAATCAAAGTCTAAACAGGCCATACACTTTAGAATCAGATACAATTTAGATTTGACTAAACCTAAACAATTAAAAGGAGAACTATGGGGTTAAGGCTATTCCCCATAGTTCTCCTTAGGATAACGGGAGGACACAAACTGGCGTCCTCCCGTCACCCTAAGCTCAGTATACCGCGAGCTACAGCTCGCGGTATACTGAGACGCCGGAGCGGATCCCGACATCAATGTCGAGATCCGCCCAGCTGCGTGAGTGACAGCTTGCTCTGCCTATCTAGAGGCAGAGCCAGCTGTACCCGCCCCCTCCCCCGTCCGTTCCACCAGTCAGCGCTGGCGGATCGGAGCGGGGAGGGGGGAATCCATCCCCTCTCCTGTCATGGCAGAGATCGAGAAGTGAGTGAACACCGGTATGTGTTCGCTCACCTCCCGATCTACTGAGCCGACCTGTGACAGTCTCATTGTCACAGGTCGGCTAGAACTATGAGGTGAGTGAAAAGCACGCCCCTCATAGTTCTCCTTTAATTGAACTTGTATCATATAGGGCTGGCCCTGCAATACATAGTAGTAGGCGGTAGGTCTGAAGCAGATTGTATAGAGTATGGTCAGCTTTAGACAGATATAATCTTTGTGACGGAACAAAAATGAATTGGTCTAAAAATTGTATTGTCATATTATGACGACATGACTGAAATAAAAATGTATTATCAACGCTTAGAAAAAAAAATATTAATAGATTAATGAAAAAGTAAATAAAATTACACAATGTTACTACACTGGATCAAATGTATCATCTCCATAACTCAAAGGAGACCAGGGGGAAAAAGACCCGGGGGAACTCTGTAGAAGACCCGGGGGAACTCTGTAGAAGACCCGGGGGAACTCTGTAGAAGACCCGGGGGAACTCTGTAGAAGACCCGGGGGAACTCTGTAGAAGACCCGGGGGAACTCTGTAGAAGACCCGGGGGAACTCTGTAGAAGACCCGGGGGAACTCTGTAGAAGACCCGGGGGAACTCTGTAGAAGACCCGGGGGAACTCTGTAGAAGACCCGGGGGAACTCTGTAGAAGACCCGGGGGAACTCTGTAGAAGACCCGGGGGAACTCTGTAGAAGACCCGGGGGAACTCTGTAGAAGACCCGGGGGAACTCTGTAGAAGACCCGGGGGAACTCAGCAGAAGACCCGGGGGAACTCTGTAGAAGACCCGGGGGAACTCTGTAGAAGACCCGGGGGAACTCTGTAGAAGACCCGGGGGAACTCTGTAGAAGACCCGGGGGAACTCTGTAGAAGACCCGGGGGTAACTGAGCAGTAGACCCGGGGGTACGCAGATCAGCCTTGACAGATCAGCCTTAGGGCGGGAATTCAAAGTGTTCTAATATTCTGAACATGACTACTGGCCAAGCCAAAAGTAGGGCAGAGGACAACTCTGCTGGTTGTGTGTTGGACCTCTCTACAGTCTTACCTAGTGATCTTTCTGACCTGGAGATGGCCCTTAAAAAAGCTCAGTTCACATACCGATTTTGTGTGCTCAGGACGTGGAGCAACTGCTGGAGGTGGGGCCGGCTCGTCTTCATCTTCATCATCCAGTTCATCCTCTAATACGGGAATCTCTGACACGGCTCTCGATTTCTGCAATCAAATCATTCACATTTTGAATAAAAGAGGCGCAACCACTACAATAAGGAAAATCTACAGCCATACAGATATTTGTAAGCTGCTACAGTTCCAGCTCAAGGGGAAAAACCATCTATAAGCCAAACCGATCTCCCCACCAGCACATGAGCCACCTCTTGTACTGCCCTGCCCCCCCCCTGACAGATTCCTTTAAACCAAAAACCCAGTGGAGGAATCCCCTCTCATGTTATGCTCAACCCTTGCAGGGATCCTCCAGAATGGTCATGTGACTTATGAATTCACTCCAGAAGTACAGTCATAGTATGCATGGCAGGGCGTATTTGTACACTACTCTCAACACAGGTTTAGGGGCTCCTGGGGTACACCTAGGAATAATCTTTATAAGGCATGGATATGTTTGGGTTTTTAAAGGTCCCTACATTGGTCTAAGGCAGCAGTGGTCACAATACAATGACAGTGAGGATGGACTGAGGAATGAAATACTTGCATTTTAGTCTCTTCACTATAGCAGAGAAGACCACCAACAGCTCATTCAAAGCCACAGCAAGCCTCAGAGTTTCTATGGCTGGCCAGCAGAGGGTTAAAGGCCAGATAGCAAGCTTTCAGATCCCCAATAATGCTGCCTTGGCTTTGTGGATTCCATTACAATATAATCATAGGCCTGGAATTCCCCCGAACACATCATACGACACAGCAAATTATAAACACACACAGCCGAGGCTGCCAAGTTATTGTGGCAGAGACATGGAAATCAAAGTCTCCTCTGCTTCCTAACACTGCCAAGAATGAATGTGCCAGCGCTCTAATTATTAGAAAGCTCCAACGCCGGTTCCTGCGAAGAAAGCTTGCCTGGCAGCGCTGGGTGCCGAGTTCAACTCCCACCAGGAACAAAATTTAGGGTGACTTGTATGTTCTCACTGCATCTACAAAAGGTTTCTTTTTGATGTTTTGGTTCCCACCCACAAGCCAAACACATACCGCAAGTTTCATGGATTCTGACCAAAGAGGCTGCAAAGAGTCTGTGTGTGAATGACATTATATTGTGTTTGTGTCATACCCTCCACACTCCTCTCCTATACATACTGCCCAATGTTATACCCTCCACACTCCTCTCCTATACATACTGCCCCCTATCATACCCCCCACACTCCTCTCCTATACATACTGCCCCCTATCATACCCCCCACACTCCTCTCCTATACATACTGCCCCCTATCATACCCCCCACACTCCTCTCCTATACATACTGCCCCCTATCATACCCCCCACACTCCTCTCCTATACATACTGCCCCCTATCATACCCCCCACACTCCTCTCCTATACATACTGCCCCCTATCATACCCCCCACACTCCTCTCCTATACATACTGCCCCCTATCATACCCCCCACACTCCTCTCCTATACATACTGCCCCCTATCATACCCCCCACACTCCTCTCCTATACATACTGCCCCCTATCATACCCCCCACACTCCTCTCCTATACATACTGCCCCCTATCATACCCCCCACACTCCTCTCCTATACATACTGCCCCCTATCATACCCCCCACACTCCTCTCCTATACATACTGCCCCCTATCATATCCCCCACACTCCTCTCCTGTACCTACTGCCCACCGTCATACCCTCCACACTACGCTCCTGTACATACTGCCCC